CTTTGCTAGCAGAGCGTCCAGGCCCCCAACCAGCCTCTTCCTCACAGTGTTTTGTCACTCACGCTGGATTACTTTTCTCCCCAGAAACAAGAGGCGCGAAGCATGTGCCGTTTGTCAGCCTATTTTTCTTTCCTTCTTAGGATTAGCTGGAGCATTTATAGGCCTGGTATGCATATTCATTAAAAAAAAATGAAATATTTTGGAAAAAAAGAAGCTGTCTTTGAGTTAGCACAGCCTTTGGGAATCTGCTAAGTAAGATGCACTTAATTACTTTAGCTATGACTACATCACATTTCACTCATGTTTCCTCTGAGATGCAAAACGTCTTTTCAGTGGAAGCTGCAAACACATCCCGAGCCTTTTGCAGCACCTCGCAGCGAGCTTGTCGCGCTGGATGCCCAGGATGGAGACAGGATCTGACCTGGCTGTCAGACACACTCCTCCTGGTGTTGGAGCTAATCACATTTGCAGGGTGGTTATTTAATTATACGTGTGCTTCCATTGGGCTCTGCGGGGCTGCTGAATGCTTTGTGGAAGAGGAAGGCGTGGGTGCAGCCCCAGTGAGCCCGTGGCTGGGGTTGCCTCCCACAGGACCGGTGTGCAGTGAGAGAAGAGGCTGTTTGCTTTTGCAGGGGGAACATTGCATTTGTTACCTTCTTTCGCTTTGGTTTGCCATCATTGCAATTTCATCCATCATTTACTTGCCTACTTAGGCCATTTACTTCAGGGGAGCATCTCTGAATCCTGCTCCTGGGTCTCTTTCCTTGAGTCTTTCGGGGGGGGGGGGGATATCAACTACTTTGGGTGTACAACTAAGGCCCCTGAAATAGCTCCGTGTCTGCTGGATCTCGCAGTGGAAAGCAGGACCAACCCTTTCCCCAGCTTGAGCGAAGACCATCATCACCCTAAAGCCCACAGCAGAAGTGCCAGGGCTGCACACAAGCTGCTCACCTTCATTTTCACCCCAAACATTTTACATCCGGAGAGCACCAATGGCTTCCCACCGGTCACCCTCCCAGGTCCTGAGGACATCAGGGGCTGTGGGCAGGGGCTGTGGGGAGATGGCAGCCTGGCATGTTGCTTCCGAAACTATTTTTTTTTTTTAGAAAAAAAGGGAAATAGTGAGTGACAAATGGTGGGTCCAGATCCTGCCCCTCCAGACGGCGGTCAGCAGGGTTGCATGCAAGGGACATAGTTGTACATGTCCTTCTGCAAAACCTCCTGGCCGTGGGGAGAAGAGATGGAGACATGGGGGAGTAAGAAACTGGGGTCAGAACCAGCAATATTCAGCAAAGGTATTGCGTAAAACCACCAGATTGAAATGATGTAAAGAAATAGGCAGCTGCTTAGAAGGAGGCCTCTTGGGCTAAGATATCCTTGGAGGAAGGGGGAAGTCCCAGGAGAAATGCAGTGTCTCTGCTTTTTAAGAGAGGGCTGTGGTTGGGTTGCTGTCAGCAGGAGGCTTCTGTATGGGTTCTCTGAGCCAGGGCTCAGGTTTCTGTTTTTTTCCTGCAAATTTTCATAAGCATTTGCAGCACGTGTCCCATATCCATAATTGCACTCCTGGACTCGTTCTGCTCTGATGCATAAATAACATGCACTGTAAAGAAAAAGTGTATGATTACATATTTAATGGATAAACGGAGCTGTTGTGGTCTATTGGCCACATAATAAAAGTTTCAAAAAAATTGTCTTAATACAGTATTTACCCAAGAGACTGCCATGGCTGCAAATGTGAATGAGCTATTTTAAATTTTAAAATTTTTTAAGCCACGTTTCATAGCCTTCCCTATTCCTAAAACACCCATCTTCTAAACTTTTTCTTCATTTAAATTTAAAATACGGACAATAAATTATTCTTTTTCTTAGCAGCTGGCAGATCTTCTCCAACATGAAAGGTCTGGATTAAACTGACAAAATCCAAGACAAATGTACCTTTTTCACTGAAATTTGGGAAGGAGCTTGCTGCTCATGCAGCAGATGGGTGCTGGCCTGTCTTCCCACCTTGCAGGCTCCCCGTCGCTGCCTGTCCCACCCCTGGCCATTCCCAGGACATTTGCAAACTCAATTGCAAATGCAGAAATTGCCTCTCTGATGCCTCCTGTGCTGCCCAAGCCTGTTGGCCCTCCCCACCTTGCTTGGCTGCAACGGGAACATCCTCGATGTCTTTTTGGTCGGGATTTCCCACGAAGCAACATGTGGCAAGGAGAAGCCAGACCTCTGCAATAAAGCAGGTGTTAAGGGCACATAAAACTTGCCATAGCTCAAGCAGCAGTGAGTTTCCTCAGCTCTGAGATGGAGCAAAGCCAACGCTGCTGCCTCTGTGAGCTGGTGTTTCCTTGCAACCACCAAAGCCAAGGACGGCGATCCAGCGTGGCCCCTAGGTCAGCCTCGGTCAGACTCAGCGTGCTCTTGAAATGGAAGGCATGATTTTCTTCCTGTGAGTTAAATCCCTGCACTTCATAATTAATACAGAAAAAAGGGCAGATCTAGGAAAATCCATTCCCCTGACACATACTCCTTCTACTGATGGAGAATCCGAAAGAGATCAGAACATGCTGTTGGGTGTTGTGTAAAGCTCTTGATTCCTGACCTGCAGCAGCAAATCTGGTTTTGCATTTGGATTTATTTCCTCTGAAGCCTACTGAGCCCTTGCAGGTCTTCCCTGGGTTTCTTTCTGTATGTGCTGCTAATGGAGTTGGCAAGCCTCCCCTGGTAATGAGAGATTGCACCTCAGTGGGCTTATAGGAACTGAAGATTGTTAATAAATAAAGCCTGGGTCTTTAAACTCATGTTAACATTAATCAGATTAATATAAAAGGGAAAAATTCTGGAAAATGTTTCAGGCAGGGCTTTACTCCCCCTCCCACTGGCTTCCTCCATGGCTGAATGAGGCTGTGGGGCACAAGTCAGCTTGGCTCTGCCCGCGGGGGCTGCAGTGGGGCTGAGCCCCTACTGTTGGGGGGTGACCGGGCAGGGATGGATCCTGGGGTGAAAATGGGGTTTTCAAGGAAAATGGTACAAACTGGAAATGGCGTCTTGGCTGAGCAGAGAGCAGGGAAGCCCCACAACCTTCCATACACCAACAACATGGCCAGGTTTGTCTTCATCTCATACCATCTTCCCTCCTTGGCCAGGACAGAGGGTTTGTTGCTGATGCCGCTTGACCCAACCACTTTAACATTAGTTTATGCCATGATATGGGGGGACATATGCTCCACAAGGTATTTCTATTTTGTCTAATGTAGCATTCAACATTTCTTGTTAGCCATATATCTATGTTTCATTCTTCTTTTGAATCTTTTGAGACCATTGAGCTCAGCAGCCTCAGGAGGCAGCACTTGTGCTGGTGGCCTTTGCCATGTCCGTGTGTCCCTGCAGCCATGTGTGATTAGTTGCCTTTCAGTCTCATCAGATGTCCCCTTGCTCCCACATTATGCGAATAGACAAATAGGTGTTAGGAAACTCTTCATTTTTGGGGACAACTCTATCACGTAGCCTCCTCCCTCATCTCTTACCTACATGCATGCACACACATACATCATTTCTGGTTCCTTCCCTCACTGGGAAATCTTAACAGGCAGCTCATCATTTTCTTTGCCCCTGTCTGTACTTTTTTTTTTCCTGCTACATTAATTTCAGTGGGATTGGAGCTGATTGCAGTATTTAAAATTAGAAGAGTTATTGCCAGGAGGAGCTGTAATGAGGTGGTGACCACCAGCAGAGCTTGCCCCCACGCGTTGGGGTCCATCTTGGGGCATGTCATGGTGCTTGGGCCTTCCGGGGCTCGGGGACATGCAAACCTCTGGCGTGATGGTAGTGTCACAGCTTTGGGCAGACTGACGTGGAGGAAGCAGGGGCCTGGGCTTCCACTGACTGCGTTTGTGCTTACTACTTCTAGGTTTAACCCCAGTAGCACCAGCAACCCAACAGCCGTACAGAGGATGCAGAAGGGGTGGTTGTGGTACCTTTGTAAACTCAGACAAGCAGATATTTTTCCACCTATGCAGTTACTAAATGTTGTGGTAGGATTTCTTGAGGATCAGGGACGTGCACTGATTCTACAGGGTTTGGACAATCCAGGCTGGGCCTCAGAGCAGAAAACTGCCACGTGGTAATCTTGTCCTTGAGGTCACCTTGAAAGGCAAGAATGAGGAAGTCAAGCGAGTGCTTCCTTCCTGTTTGAATGCCCAGATACACTGACCGCAAAGTAGATTTAGTTTGTACACGTGTACTAACGATGCAGACCTATCACAGCACTTCTGGGTGTGTGATAAGTGCCTTTAGCCAATAGATTGTAAAGCATAGAGGGCGTGACTGTCTGGCTCTGTATATCTTGGGGCTATTCGGGTAAATAAAGGAGAACGACTTTCATCACATCAGTGTGGTGTCATTACTTGGTTCTTGCCTCCGTACTGGACCCTCCTACAAAATGTCAACACCAAGTATTGCTCAGAAAGAGCGTGTTTGGGATCCATGGCCTCTACTGCTGCATCACTGATCTCCCAGGGCTGGACTGTCAACCATGGGCCCCAAATACCCTGGCACAACATGTGCCAGTGCTCAGCAATGACCTCCCATGTGCAGCAGCAAGGCTTGGCCCCAGAAATGCCCGAGACTTTGCAACACCCTCCCTTCTCCCAGTGATTTGGTCAAAAAGTGCTCATTTCTGAACTTTTCTTTCAGAGCCCTGGAAGGTGCCAGGCACCACTGGTCCCTGAGGCAGGCCGGGGCACCTCCTGGACACAGAGACCAATGTACAAAGATGATTTAGCCCCCCTCTGTAGTCACCATGGTCAGGGCAATATCAGGAGCAGAGCCCTGGGTGCACAATACTCGGTTCTTGCTCTGGCCTTGTTTGGGAGGGGGCACAAGGAAGACTTTACCAGCTGTGTAGAATAATTTTAAATCAATCAATAAGTTCATCTTAAAGTGATTTGACAGTATGACCAACATATAAATACATTTTGTAATTACAAGGTGATATTCTCCTCACTCAGATCCAGGAGATGGTCCACTCAGACGCCACATCCTATGAGTCCAACCGTCAAGTGCCCCTGATCAATCGCCCCGGGATGTTGGCCGGCCCCATGAGCGCTCTCAGCCAGTCACAGCTGATTTCCCAGATGGGGATGCGGAGTGGTGTTACCCACGGTTCCCCATCACCCCCGGGAAGTAAGTCTGCTACACCATCTCCCTCCAGTTCTACTCAGGAAGAGGAGACAGAGTCACATTACAAGGTACGTGCGGTCACGCCTGTTTTAACAGACAGCGAGAAAACAGCAGATTATGTTTTTCAGTAAGGCTTGAAGTGTGCTAATAAGAACACAGACTTTTGGTCTTTTTTTTTTTTAAATATGTATATGTAGTGGGAGACTTTCCCAAGGATGGGGAGCTTGTTTCCAACCTACGGTTGAGGTACAGCATGGCAGGCTAGCACACATTCTTGGGTGGTGCATGCAGCAAGCTTGGCATTGAGAGTTGGGCTTTTCTCTCCATGGTTTACCCTGTCCATCAAGCTGCAGAGTTTCCACCAATGACGGTTTTGATGAGCAAAGCAGGTTCAGGGCTAAGGTTCTGCAAATGCTTGGGTGCAAAATTAGATTTCTGGTGGCAGGTAGAAGAGACTAAAACAGGGAAGGAAAATAATGCAGAGGGAGATTTAACAGCTCACCAGGCATGGTTTGCTAAGAGAAAAAAAAAAAAAAATAGAAATTAAAGAAGAAGAGTCCTCTGCCATTTATTTCACCCAGGCAATGTTTTAGGCAGTCAGCAATGGCTTAGTGGCACAGATTCTGCCTCTACGGCCAGCACAACTGCTGCTGAGCATGGCATCAAGGAACCTAAGGATTTTCTAGGGGTTTGGGGACATCTTGGTTGTTGTCCATCTTTCTCAAAATGCACCAGCAAAGCAAACAACACATGCTGTGTTCCACAAGTCTTCCGTCTGTTATTTACTGAGGGCAAATTGCAGCAATTGCAGGGTTGCTGCCTCAACACCCCATGGGTCTCTGTGCCTGCAGGTCAATCACTGGTCTCCCTGAGGAACTTTGATTAAGGCCTTTCATGGAAAACCTTCTTCTGGAAGGTGCTGATCCAACGATGACACCAGGAGCACTGGGATTGTAACCTTGTCCTGCAAAAATAGACAGTTGTGACAGGATTTGAATGTCTAACCAAAGCAGCAAACAGCGCAGAGACTGGAAAACTACAAGAATGCTAAGACTGAGCAAAAACCTTTCCCTTTCCATGGAAATCCAGACAAATGTATTCAAATCAAGCCTGTAGTTTTTCATCTGCTGGCAGCTTTTACTTCAGATCAGGCTATATCAAAGCAGAGTGCACATATGGATGTGAAAACAGCTTCTGTGGAATAGAAATGTAAAAAGAAGGGATACATGTGATTGAAAATAGATTAAGTTTTTCAAACTCTGCGATTCCACGTTTGGGGGACACTGTGGGACAGGTCATGCTGCTGGACCCCACCATCTGCCATCTCCCAGAGCCTGTGTCACACAGCTCCAGGCAATTACCTGGGAGCTGAAATCTTTCATGTCAGTGTAAAATGAGTTTCAGCTTAGTTACACACTATGTTCTCTCTCTCTGCCTCTTTCAGCATCACCCAGCTTTCCTCCCAGCTGTCCGGGGCTGCAGGAGTCACTGGGGAGGACATGGATTTGGTGTTAGATCTTCTGTTCTTGTTGAGCCAGTGATGCCTGTGGGGGCAGGAAGAATTTGGTGATGTCCAAATTATGACAACTTGCAGAGATTTTAATTTTTTCTATTTCTAAGGGCATGCCCTCTCATTTTTCTGCCCTGTAAACTCCTATGGAACAGGAGTGACATATTTGATGGAGGAAGGAGACCGTAAGTGTAAAGGAAGCAGCAGAACTGTGGTGTGGCCTGCAGGTTTCTGTTTGCTTTCTCTATCTACACAGCTGCTGTATTCACCCATCAGTCATATTTCATATGGACATTGAGGTCCTTTCTGCAACAAGTCATCAAAGCAACATCTAACAAGCTGAAATTAACCTTGTGACCAAGAAGATCACGTGTTAAAGAAATGGGTCTGATGCCAGCAAGTAGTTCAGGTCCAGCAGGTCCTCTGAGCCAGGGAGTTGTTGATTTTAGGAGTCTCCCAGACTCACTGATGCATTTACCTGCCTCGTTGCTTCAGGGCGGTGTACACATGCATGGGAGGGAGAGGTCATTACAGCCCAGATTCCAGCTGGATTAGCAATCTCCTTCCATAGTTATTAAAAGCATGTTGTCTGTGAGGTTCCTGCTCTTCATGGGTTCACCATCTAAGAAGACACCAAGCCTCCAGTTTATGGGATCACATCTTCACCAATGAATCGCCCCAATCCACATCTGGTATTGAACATACCCTCTGCTGCATCTTCAGAGCAGGTCCGTGCAGGGGCTGGTGGCCGTGCACTTCATCCTGCTGTATGAGCCTTCATGGTCTCTTTGACCATGGCTCAGCCCTTGGGGGATGCGGTTGCTCTGGGGCAGTGAGGCCCTGGCTCACCGGGGCTTGCTTTTAGCCATCAACGTGGCTTAGGTTGTTCAAGCATCTTCTGCAGGCCAGGGCTGGACTGTTGTCTCATCCCGTGCTGCGTCACACCTGGTAAACCCCAGGAAAACCAGTTGAAGTCCTGATCTGCTCTTCTCCCTCCTGATGGCTCCAGACAGCCCTGCAGGCAGCGTCTGTTTGCCACAAATACTCTTTGCTCTTTGGTGCTGCCTAAGCGGGACTGACTGTAAAACCATCGTCATGGCTGTGGTCACATTGTGCCTGTTCCCAGCTCCTTCGCGTGGTCAACGGCTGTGAGGAGAGCAGGTCCCCCCCACAGCACTTAAGTGAATCAAACAGGATTACAGTTAGTTAAAATACCATCTCACTTGCTAATGGGCTGAAGCCCTGTCATGCATTTATTTTCTCCTAATCAGCTGGCCTTTCACCTCCAGGCCTCCCATTCAAGCCCAATTGGGCAATTTTAAATTAAATGCAATTTTTTTGGTCTCTCTGCTCATTCACTAATGGTCACTGTCTGTTTGACAAATGTCACTGCACTGATACTGAACTTAATGACCAGTCAAGAGCTGCTGAGCGGAGAACAGGAGCGCTGCTGCCCTTTCCTCCCCGTGCTTGTCCTGTGCCAGCTGAAGTGAAGCCTCTTAAATCCCAGTGCTTCCAAGCACACAATCAAATCAGCAAATCCATCAGGAGAACAGGACTTTTGCTCCCAGTGCTCACCGGGATGCACAGTTTTCGCAACAGCTTGGTGTTTAGACCTGTGTCAATTGATTTTTCTTTAATTTCTTTTAGACCTCTAATTGACAGGCTCGGCAACTTTCTAAGTAATGTAATTAGCCCATGCACCTGGTAGAGCTGGGGCTGCCGAAGTCAGGTAGTGGCTGAGCACTTGGTGCTCGAGTACAGAGGGTCTGCAGGCAGAGGTGCTGCTGCCCTATTTGCCCTTGAGGATGCAGAGATCCAGGCTGCAGCAGCCAGATGACAGCAAATGGTTTTATTCTCTGCCATGTTTAACCTCTGGTGTATTTAGTTTTCCCTCTGCTATAAAATAAGGATAATGGTGCTTCCCTGTAGTGCAAGCTTTCACTGACCACAGTTAATGCGTTGAGAGCTTTGATGTATGTCCAAGTGCTTTCCAGGGGTCTTTTCCTTTGCACAACTCCACACAGAGGCTTCTGCGGTCCCATACACTCAACACACCACCCAGGGCATCCCAGCAGAGGCTCAGCCGTAGGATCTTCTTTCTTTGCTACCTTCACTGGAAGCATCCCTGTTTCCAGCCTTGCTGTTTTGCTTCCCAGCCCGGTGGCAGTGTCTCATGTCCAACTACCGTTGCCTGTGTCCTGCTCCCCGTGATTCAGCCACCCACAGGGCACCGAGTATGGATACAGCACGACCCGGAGCGGTTGTAGAGTGAGCGGTGCATGCAAAGCATTTAATACATAAAATTAAAATAGTTTATTTCCTGGGGTACATACCTGTTATCAGGGTGAAACAAATTTTGGGTGGCGTCAGTGTGACAGCTAACATGCTGGTGCTGCTTGGTCAGTGCTGGCGAGCCTCCTGCCTGGGGAGCGGGGAGGCTGAGCTGCTGGCACACGCGAGGGCGAGGAAAGTCAGAAGCAGCTTGCAAAGGAGAATTATGGGGCTGGAAATCAGAAACCATGTGGAAACCGAGTTTGGAAAAATTCATGGACTGCTAAAGGGATCTGGCTGAGAAGCAAGGCATTTGGAGAGGTCCCAGAAGAGTATCCAGGAGTGAATGAGCTTCTGATACCAGGGAGGAGGAGGGAGAAGGGGAGTAACTGAGGGTGAGTGTCTGAAAAGCCCCAGCTTTGAAGCAGGGACCACTGGAGCAGCAAGGGTTGAACACACGTTGTGAACTGGGCTGTGATGATGCACCCAAGCTGGTTTGTGTGATGGTTCTAGAGGCTCCTGGGGGATAAGGGGACCCCCAGGGCTTCTGCCCTCCTCACCATGCTGGGAGCCCTCCTCTGCCCATTCCCTCTCTTGTCCCCTTTGCTAACAAGCTGTGGCAGGGACTCATGTCAGACTGCTCTCAGCTGCCTGCTAAGGTTCATCTCTTGGTTTTGCAGGTTACTGGAGAGAAAAGACCATCAACAGACCTGGGCAAAAAGCCTAAAAGCCAAAAGAAGAAGAAAAAGAAGGATCCCAATGAACCCCAGAAGCCCGTGTCAGCCTACGCCCTGTTTTTCAGAGACACACAAGCAGCCATCAAAGGGCAGAACCCCAATGCTACCTTCGGAGATGTATCAAAAATTGTTGCATCGATGTGGGACAGTCTGGGAGAAGAGCAAAAACAAGTGAGTTAGTGATCTCTTTTTTTTTTTTTTTTTTTGCTTTCAACTGTTGAAATGTGTTTTTCCATGGTACAGAGCATCAGAGTCTCCCCAAGCACATTCAGAGTGTGACCGGGGGCTTAAACAGGCTGAAGCGTATGCACAGAAACGAAGGCTATTTCCAGGAGAGGTGCTGAAGTGCCCACTCCCACTCGAAGTGACGCTCGAGTGGTTTGCATGGCACGCTCCCAGCCCGGAGCCGGTGCGGCGGTGATGTGACCTGGCCCTCGGTCACCTCCTTGGGGTGCCCTGCACACAGGTCTTTGCCACCCGCCTGCCCCGAGGAGGGAGGGCCTGACCCATGTCGCAGGCAGGGCAGGGATGGGGCTGCAGGAGGATGTGCTGAGTCGGCTTTGCCTCTGCCTGGTTTTTAGAAAAATCTGTTGTTTCATGGGGAAGAGGAAATTTTTATGACAACTAATTATTCTTGTTAAGATCATACTTTGCAAAAACATCAGTGGCCTTTCCCTGACATGGGGCTTTTACAGCCTTAGACAGGAGATGGGTTTGTATTTTATTTACTTACAAGGAGTAACGGCAAACAAAATAAAAACTATTAACTCTCTACATCACTGGCCTCAAATCTAACATTAAGGCTTTAAAAGCTTAGGAAGGATATGTCTGAAGTGGCCTTGCAGAGGAAACCTTCCTGCCCCAAAGCTGTCAACCACTTTTAGTCTGCTTCACATGGAGACTTCTAGGTCCTGCTTTAACTGTTTTGTTGATGCTGAGTCAGTTACAAAAGCCTGTGATTGCTTGTTGCCTATTGAGAAAACCCCAGGGAATGCATTCCGTATCAAGTGTGTCTTTTTGTCAGGCAGAGCGAGATCTGACACTGTGTGTGATGTGTCTCTGATCCCAAACATGCTTTAACTGGCAGTCCCCCCACGAGTAGTGAGCCCTTCTCCTACAGCCTGGCTGCCAACTTCAGGCTGGCCCCATCTCCCATTGGGTGCCCATGGCCAGCATTCGAAGCAGCTACATTTGGGGAGGGATGAGCAGGGAAGAAAAAAAATAATTTAAATGGAAGTTATACTAGGAAATAGCCCCACACCAAGGCAGAAATAAGAGCAAGGCATCTTCTGGGATGAAATCCCTTTTGCTTTGGAGTCTCCGTACTGTGCAAAGTGTTGCTTTGATGTTTTCATCCTCTTTGGACGGATCGATGGGAAATCATGCAGGAATTTCTCATGCTGAAGAAGGAAGGGAGATCCCTCCTTGTGCAGCAGGTTGACCCCAGCCCTGCTGCCTGGGAAGCTGGAGGGCAGGAGCTGGCTTTGGGCTATTGGTGCAAGGCGTGGGAGGTTTAGGAGTGTGGAAAAGCTTTTTTGTCACCTCTTTCTCCTGCTTTCATCCCTTCCAACATCTCGCTCTGCCTCTCCCTTACTCCATCTGGTTACAAATATCACTGTAGATTGGGCACTGAGCTCAGCTGCAAATGTGGTTTATATAATGGAAGTGCTGGTGCGACCCTGACTCAGCGTAGTGCAAATGCTCAGCTCTTAATTAACAGCAGGGATTAAACCAGTCCGTTTATCTTCCCTGCTAACTCTCCCTTCTTCTCTTTTATGAGATAGTAGCAGCCTTGCCGTCTCTTTGCACACACTTTCTAAGTGGCTCCATTTCTCCCTCTGTAATTGATTTAATTAAGTCATTTGTTCCTTGTCTGAATGCTTAAATATTAACTTCCTGGCTTTGTCTCCAGCTGTATACTTTTCTCCCACGACAGCTACCTCCCTGCCCGGGACTCCGGCTGGAGGGATGCTATTTATCTTTGGCTCTGGGACCATATTACTGGTTTGTGCAATGTGGCACGTTCACTCCTGAAGTGTTTGGCTGAAAGAGAGTTTATTTAGTCCCTGTTTGCTTTTTTGCTTTCCTCTGCCAGCATCCCCAGTCAAGTTTGTTTAGGTTCATAAGGCAATGCAGTGGAAAGCAGAAAGCAAAAAAAAAAGAAAAGGGAAAAAAAAAAATAAACAAACGCAAAACATTTACAGAATGTCTTTAACACATGAAAAGAAGTGCCTAGGCTGTCCTGCAGATCCTTGCTCCCAAGGACTGCAGCACACATTCACGATGAAGGCAAACAGCCCATGGCAAGCACTCTCTTGACATGTCTCAGGAGGGGACGGTGACTGAGCAGGACAGCTACGCAGCACTGGCCAAAATCCTGCAGGGACCTGGGAGCCCAGACTGCCACGTGGCTGCACCAGACTGTGGTTTGGCTCATCACCGGGCAGGAGCATCATGCTCTGGGGCGGAGTGGAAAGGTGGAAAAGGCAACTATTTCACCTGGTGTGATGTTCCTAGCTCTGCTGACAGCAGAATATCTTCATATCCTCACTGCAGAGAGCAGTGCAGAAGACAACCTGGGGAAAAGCCAAAACAGAAATGGCAAAGCAGGCAAGCAGGAGACAGATCTGGACATTCCTGCTCAATTATGACCAAGGTTTTAGTTAAAGAAAACTTCCCCTTTTCCTAGCATAAGAAAAGAAGGTGGATTTGGGGCTGTAGGATCCGATTTGGGGCTGGCCTGTGGTCCCAGACTTGGATCTCTCACAGCCCCTGAGGTGTCCCCAGGGTGGGACTGGGGCATGACATCTCCAGAGGGCCCATGTGCAGACCCCAGCCCCACGTGAAGTTATTAAGTAGTCATTTACATCACCGTAGTTTCTGCTTCAGATGAGGTTTACAAACGTTATTTTGCAACTTCCAGTGGACGCAGTATTTCCCCAGCCCTGGGTGTGTTTTTGTTCCTGCCTTGTGGGAGAACAGCAGGCCAGGAGAAACTGGGGAGGGGGGGTTCAAAGCAAGCTGGCCGATAAACCCAACCTCAGCCAGGGCATTTTGGACTTGTGCTCCTCCAGCACGTGTCAGCAGCCCCCGGCACCTGCCCTGCTGTGCCTGCAGACGTGTCCATCCGTCCCTCCCAGCTTCATCGTGTATGGAGAAGCTGTGGGGAGCGTGGGGTGGCTGCCGTGCCCGTGCCAGAGGGGTGAGCAGAGCCCAGTGCTGGTGGCTTGTAGCCACGCTGCCAGTGCCACACAGCCAGTGGCTGGGGCTAGGAAGGGTGGTCCTGTGCCACCCCCAGGCAGGCAGAGCCTCAGCCCTGCTCCAGCTGCACTCGCCCCACAGACGCTACGTAGAACGTTTCTGCAGGCGAAAACAAGACACCACCTCTTTGTCAGGTAGTTCAAACCAGCATGCGGAGGGTTAATCCTCTGTCATTTGTGCTGCTAATGATTATATGCACTGTAATATCAAAGCTGTAGCTATTTATTTGCCATTGAGCAGGTGCTGCTGCTCCCACAAAGCAAATTTGCTTTCTCCTCCTGATGAAACAAGTAAAATAAAGGTTGCTCACGTCCCATTTCAGATATGGTTTTTTTCCCCGTGCACTAGCTGAAAGACAAACACCAAGCAGGAACTGGAATGCATATTATGCAAGAAACCATATAATCTAGGAGCATCTTTGATTTGGCTGCTGCTGTCACAGACATGTATTTCACAGAGAGGCTTTTCCCCCCCCTCCCTTCTTTTGTTCTTACTGGTTTATCATTTGTGCCTTTGTCGTTTTGTTCCTTCTTCTTCTCTTCTCAGCCTCTTCACAATGAATCTTCATTTTCCCTCTGACACACTTGTATCTAAATTTCCTTATTTCCTGCCTTTTTTTATTTATATCTGTTGCCTGGTGATTTGATCATGCTGTGGAATACAGGATTAGCAATCTCCGTGTCCTTGGGTACTGCTCAAGGACACCTGTTCGGCAAAGCGCTGTTTTCTTCCCCATTTTAACCCCTTCCAGTGTGGCCATGCGTGCATAACAGTAATAAATAACAATACCTTTAAATATCTCCAGCACTGCATTAGCAGGATGTTGTAATCTTCATTCTTCAACAGCTGGCGTGGCCCTTTCTAAGAAGCTTACATGGGAATCTGAAGAATGTGACTCGAGGGAAAAAAAAATATTAATACGTACTCTTTGAACTTTGCAAATAGTTTAACAGCTGTTCCTGTAGAGATAGCTTAGACTTTGGTGGAGAGTGAAATGCTAATTCAGCCATTATCATCAAATAGGGTACCTGTCGTAGTAATCCGCCTGCAGCTCCAGGTCCCTGCTCAAGGCTCTCAGAATCTCGTGCCTCGGTGTTATTTTTCTTCATTAGCAGATATAGACCGGCGTTCACAGTGTTATCCAGCAAGGTTTAGAAGGGCTGCCTGATTTGACAGAAATTAGAAGAATTTGAGGACTAGATTGGAGCAAACTCTGCTAATTCACTAGGAAGGATTTTTCCCCAGCATGGACATAGTGCTCACAGCCCGGTCCCTGCTCATGCCACCCGGCAGGGCTGCCACCCCCTCCCCTCCTTCCACGGGGCCACCAGCCCTGCCATGGGCCGTCTCTGCTGAAGGGCAGGTGACACCCAGCCCTGGGTGGCTGTCCTCGGTCAGGGGGATTTCATTTGGGTGATAAGCCTGGAAACTCCCTGGAGCGTACTGAGAAGTCACCGGTGGGATTTGCTCTTTTCTGCCATGCTCTTACTCCCTCTCTGAGCACCTTCTGGTCACCCACTGTATTTTGGGGGAAAAGGCTGTTGATTTGGAGCCTGGTGATGATGGAGCATGGGGAACGCTGCCAAACTGGCAGTTGCAGATGTCTCTGGAACCTGCTTCTTTTCATTAGGAAATCCAGCAACAAATTCGAAGCATTGGGTCAGTGTGCCCCTAGGCTCTGAAAACTCAGAGCAGAGGCATCAAGAAGTTCCTGAGCAATCTGCTGAGTGAGCCTCAGACTAAACCCGGGCTTCCCATCCCAAGAGAGCAGATGCAAAGTCAGACAAAATCAGCATTTCCAGTTGAGTTTATGAGTCTGGGGACTCACTGAGGATGGAAGGGTACCGGAGTTGAGTTCTTGCTCACAATAGCCCTGCTTCACCAGGGCAGTTCAGTAATGCTAAGTGACTCCAGGGCCAAATGCATATGTGATTTTCCCATACAAATGCACAGCCTGGAGAATAACACAGTGTTCACACTCCAGGGATAAATGGCCCAGCAGAAAAATTACTCACTCAGCAGAAGATAATAGCTCACCCATCTAATCAGATCCATCTGCTCATTGAACCCGATACATCACCTGGTGACAGGACACTGCGTATATCTGCAGTGGGACGGAGGCACCTCGGGCCAGCTGTAGAGCTGTATTATGGCAGAGCCATCACCGGGGAGAGGTCCCATGGGAGCCTCATGCAGCAAGTGCTGCCTGGCAGCGTGGCCATCAGACTGCTCACTTCCAGCACTGTAGAGAGGTGTCAGTGGTGGAGCCACTGTTGGCTGGAGTTTCCTGCTGCTGCTCCAAAGCCCCAGGAGTGAGGGATTGGAAGAGTCCAACCACCTGTCCTGGCCTGGAAGGTGGTTTCAACACCTTCTGGGTGTCAAGGAAAGACATGTACTGGAGAAGCACCAATCCCAAACAAGGTTTCAAGAGAGGTCTGATGGAGACCAGGGAAGATGTGAAAGGTCAGAACTGCTCTTAAAAGCAGTTCCGAGGGTGTGACTTCTCTTCTTGGAGAGCAAGATCAGAAGTGTGGAAGATGAATGTTGTGTGCTTTTCATCAGAGGTTAGGGGTTGCATTTGTCACCCTCCTCCTCTGTTTCATTTGGAGTCTCCTGTGGGTTGTCCTGGGAACACACTTGTGCCCTCACATGGAGTGATAGATGACTTACACCCAGGTGGCACCATGAAGTCAGCTTGACCAGCAACATCGTGATGGGCATCGTTGACAGGTGCCTCCTACTTCCAAGCTTGTTGACCTCAGGATTTAGCAATCCAGACTATAGGTATTAGTCTGAAGGAGATGGGCTGAGATTTACACAAAGTGTAGCTTGGGTTAGTTGATTTTAATGGCAGGCAGAGGGACAGAATAAGTGTTCCCCAAGAAGGGAGCAGGAGGGATACAGAGAGAATGAGTAGGTGAAGAAGATCTGGGAGGGAATAAGGATGACGTGGCCGTGTTTGCTATATTACCAATGGCTGTGTGGAGGCTGTATGCAAGGAGAAGGGTGGTGTGGCAGACACCACCGTGCAAGGAGGAAGTACTTTCGAGTCATCTTATGAATAAGCCGTAAGTTACGATGATCCCAAGAGATATCTTGCAGGAAAGTGTATAATAGTTACAAGAAATACCCTCTAGATTTACAAGCAGAATGAAATCCAAATTTATACATTTGGGGGGAAAAATTCCCAGTCATGGAATCATAGAGAGGGAGGGCAAGGAGAGACTTAAGAGGTCAGCCAGACCATGCTGCTGCCTGAAGTCAGGATCATCTCTACTTAAGCCATTCTTGATGGATGTGTGCCTAATCTGTTCTTAAACCCTCAGTGGTGGAGATTACACATCTCCCCAGGCAATCTCTTCCCATGCTTAATTATCCTTACTGTTAGGAACGCTGTCCTCTTGCTTAGCCAACATTTCCCTTGTTACAATTTAAACCTATTGCTTCTTTCTATCTTTAGTAGATGCAGAGGATCATTTGGTGCCTCCTTTGCTGTGTTGCATTTGGATGCTGTGGAGACATTTGGAGGCTGTGGGTCCTGTTGGTCTTGTCTCCTAGCTAAATAAACTGAGTCCTTCACTCTCCTCCTGGAGACCTTTGCTGCACTTTTCGTCTCTTCTCTCCTGATGATCTATCTCTTTTTTGAAGCAAAATGCCCCAAACTCCATCTAGGATTCTAGCAGAGACCTTTTCACTTGGGATCAGCAGACCCCTTGCTTTTTTGGGGAGAGTTTGGGTTCTTTTCCTCATTCCCCAGGCTTGGGAAGCAGCGTTTCTGATAAAGCAGGCGGGCCAGGATGCAGAGGTTACCGATAACAGCCCCGGCTGTCATTCAGTGCCTGCACGACATGGAGCCGTTCGTGGGCGTCAGCAGGATTTGGAATAATTGTCTTCTCTAATTAACTGGTTATCAAACAAGAACATTTCATTACGGTACAATTACTAGCTGCTTTGCTGAGACACAGAGGTGTCAGGATTACGATCCCAACATATGCTTCTTACAGCTCTGATTTTTTGTTTTTATAATCACCAACTATTTTTGCTCCCCCCCCCCCCCAACCCACCCACTCACTTAGTGACTAATGAATCCTCCTGCTAACGAATAAGGAAAATAAATCAGTGGGCATGGCAGGTTAGAAAGAAAAACATGCAAAATGTTTTGAGGATCCTTAAATCTGATAAATTACTTTGAAATTAAAATCCCTGGGAGAAAATGGGATTTAATTAGAAAGTAACATGGTTTTGTCAATGTTTAAATTAAAATTTTAAAGGTTATAAATACTGCACTAGTGCTGCTTTTACACAGAGGATTCATGAGAAGTTTTGTTCGGCTCCTCTCTTCCCACGTCAGCGCGGCGTTTGCCCAGCGTCAGGCTGCAGCTTTGCCGCTCGGTGCCCTCGAGGCAGCACTGGGTGGGTGCAGAAAGCCCCCGCGGGCAGGGCAGGGGTCCCGGCAGCAGCCCCTTGGGGGTGGGTGTTTGCAATGAGGGGGGTGAGGCGCTGGCCCAGGGTGCCCAGAGCAGCTGTGGGTGCCCCCTCCCTGGAAGGGTTCAAGGCCAGGTTGGACGGGGCTGGGAGCCCCCTGGGCTGGGGGAAGGGGGCCCTGCCCGTGGGAAAAGGGGTGGGACTGGGGGGGCTTTAAGGTCCCTGCCAACCCAAGGCACTCTGTGAATCTGTGGTCACAAACCAGCTGATCCAGCAGGAACATTCCAGAGCTGGAGAGAGCCTCAGAGGAGCATCAGAGGAAACACGGCCCAGGCTCGCCCTCTTGCCCTTCCCTGTAGCCCCGCTCGTGGCCAGGGCTGGAGCAGGGGTGGCCCGAGCAGCACGGAGGCTCCTGCCCGCAGCAATCCCCCTCTCCCTGCGGGAGGACGCGCTGGTCGCCTGCCCCTTCCCGGGGCTGAGGCATTAGACACCAGCCGGCAGCGCTTCCAAGTACGGGCGAGGCACAGCGCCCGCTTGCTCTCTGAGAAAGGCAAGGGCAGATGAAGAGTGGAAAAAAAAAAAGGGTGTACCAGAAAAAGCAAGTGATGGAGATGAAGATAGGCAGAGAATTTATTGTTTATTCATTTATTTGCATTTAGGTTAAGGAAGTCTCATTTACTTGTCTTCTCACTGTTCATAAATTGCAGGTTTTTCTCCAGACAAGTCTTCCTATTAATTGAATTCCTTTCTGCATAGCTGTGAATACTCTGATTTCCCACTGTCCCAGATTTTAAAAAAAAAGCAAAAACATTCTTGTTATTTTGCTCTTCAAAAGAAAAAAAAAATATATAATGTTTTCAATACATCAGCACCCAGCTATGGCCACTATTATACTAGCTTGAGACACAGGAGTTCATATTTCATTGCTGTGCAGGCATCAGGTACCACGTTTGAGAGCATCTGTTAGCAGCAGAGCTGGTGGACACCCCACATTTCTGTTTTACAGTAATTGCTGTGCTGGTAGCACTGGAGTCGGTGTGATGGGCTATGGACATAAGTGAGGTGAGGATTGTAGAGAAAGGTAATAGCTTTTATTAGGGGAACAGGTACAGTTTGAAGAAATAGTTGCTTTTCACAGGCAAACTCTTCTTCAGGCTGACATTTTGAAATGTAATTTTGTTCTGAATGGAACAAATATAATATTTCCTGAATACCATAAAGCCAAAGACAAACTTAGGAAAAAGCTCCATTTCAGAAAATTACCATCTGAGACCTCAAGTGTGTCAAGTCAAAATGTTTCATTACAGGAGTCTCTCTGATTTAGAAATGAAAATAAGGGTTTCAGTCCATTTTTAATAGAATTTATCTGTACTGATTTTAAAATGAAATTCACGTAACTGGATGGTTTAACTGCTGGAAGGTTATTTTCCCTTTGGAGGTCAGTGTTAGGAAGGAGTCTGGGGTGCTGCCACGGCCCGGGAAATTTGCAGGGGAAAGGAGCTAAATATCCCTACTAGGCATTGGCATCTTGAGTGTTGAAAGCTGTTGTTGTTTTTAAAGCAGAATTAAACATATGCAAATCTGTTCTAATTGAAATCAACTTTCCGTGTACTGCTTGAGGAAGGCTTTGAGTTTCCAGGGGAGGAGAGGGCTGATGGGTATTTTTCTTGGGAGTTTCTGCCTTTTTGCTGAAATTTTTATTCTGTTTTAAAATATTATTCTCACTCATTCAGTTTAATCTGTTTAACCCCATGGGGACTCATGCTGCTTGAGACAGGCTGGATTATGCCATTATTTTTACATACGAGGAAGACCAAACTCTGGGCAGAAAGGGGACCGTGTGGGGATTTTGGCTCTTGTCTTGCTCTTCCAAGAGCCTGGATCACACTCCCCCCGGTTCCTGTTGGGAAGCAATTCCATTGAATTCACCCTATAAAATCAGACTATGTCTCTTACAGCAGACATGAATAAATATCTGCTTAGGCGTGCAGACCGCGCTGGCCTGCGATGCCTCCAAAAATCCCAGCGTGATCCAATCCGGGGGTTTTATTTGCTTGATTTGGGGTAAACTCCTCTCCAGCAGAAATTAGTTTTTCATGCACACTTTAGTAATTATTATCCATTGCTTGGTCCTTTCAGGCATACAAGAGGAAAACAGAAGCTGCAAAGAAGGAGTACCTGAAAGCCCTGGCCGCGTACCGGGCCAGCCTCGTCTCCAAGGTACAGCCCACGCTTGCGCAGCGGCTGGACGTGGCGCTGCTGAATGAGTTGGAACTCACAGGACTCCCCGGGGAGGAGCAAATTTATAAGAAATACAGTGTCATCGTGCTATCAGAGCTGGTATTGGTGTTAGCCACCTTCCTGAGGAGCTAAAAGAAATGCTCTGCCGCGCAGTTAGGATGGGCACCAGGCTGCCTTCTGCTTTTAGCACCCTGAAACGAGACCCTGCTTTGGGCTGTTTTCTTCAGCAGAGGAGGGGTGCCCCGGGCTCACCGGCCCGTGCTGGGCAGCAGCCAGTGGCCAGCACCCTGCCTGCACCCTGCGCCAGGTGCTTGGGCTGTTCCTGCTGCTCAGGACCCTGCTCCTCCCATGCACGCTCAGACGGGAACGGGGGGGTTAGGGAGTAAGACCCATAACTGTGGCTTGATGAGCGTGTGAGCCCATACATGCTTAACGCAGTGCTGTCAAGCAAAGCCCAGAGAGCCCACTTCAGTGCCTAATAGTGAACTTCCAAGGTATTTGGGTTCATACGGGAGCTCCCGGTGCTATGAGGCAGCACCTGGGGCGGTGGTGATGGGCCAAGTGCCTGCCCAGCCCAATTCTCCAAACACGGATGGCCATCCCAGGGGACCTCACACCTTCCCCTCCTACCCGCCTTCAGGGAGGGCACAGGGGCATTTGCTGCCTGTGAATTTGGGGTGGCTCCCGCAGAATTCCTAGGCTTGCTGGCTCAGGGACATGTGCTGCCCTTGGGTTCTGAGTATGTGCATCAGATTGTTTTCCCTTCAGAGTTTCCCCTTGGTGCTATACCACACCCTCAGTATTTAATCATCGCATTTAGCTGCTGTGGGAAATAATGTGATGTCCCAAATCAACCATCATCTGCAGGATCCATGTGATTGTGATTGTAGGCTGGAAAGGCTCAAAGCTAACCTTTAGCTGTCTTAATTTGTAAACAGAAGAGCAGCAAGGACAGTAAAAGGGAATGGAAAGGACTGTTTGGGGGTTTAAAAGCTCTTCTTGGTCTCTCTGGAAACCTCTGAGAGCCTTGGCTTGAATGTGCCCAGCAGCAGTGTGGGCCAGGTAGCATGGAAGGCATAGAGTCACCCCACTCCACAGTTTCATTTTTTTCCAGTTTCTCCAATGACCAGTTCTTTGCAGAAGAGCAAATTTGTTTCAAGTAAAACAGCACAGTGTGATCCTGGCTACCGGGGGAGAAAGGATCTGGAGTATCATTACAGAGCCCATTGCAGGACAAAAACCTCATTGTCCAAGCCAGAAAATGTACTGTTGTTCTCTTTTTCCTGCAGAAATGAGGCCACCATTGTCCTGTGCATTATAGACCCCACTAGGGCTGCAGGAATGCACGAGATTAGGAAAGCAGAGTTTTTACAGTCCCATTCGTACTCTATTGGAAGCAAAACTGATTTTGTCACCCACCTACGTGGACCTGAGGAGTGAGCTGCAGGCGGGAGGGTTTGCCTCTGCACCGGTTAATGCCCCTGTGGTGTGGCAGGCTCTGCCAAAGGCATGGCTGAGTTATTGAACTTTAATTTCCCAGATGTGGCTACTGCACCCAGCCTGTGGTCACCCAGCGAGCCGCAGGGCTGGAAGTGCATGTGCTGGCCGGTGGGAGAGGAGCCACAGAGAGTCCTTGCAGCTTGGTTGGACAGATGGACGACTCAGGACATGTCATGATGTTTCCTCCCTTCCTTCCTCATCACCCTCCATTCTGTTTTCCCACAGAGCTCTGCCGACCAGGGGGAGACGAAAAGCGCCCAGAGCAATCCACCTTCCAAAATTATCCCCCCCAAGCAGCCCATGTACCCGATGCCGCCGCAGGCTTCCTCGCCCTACCCCGGCCTGGGCTCGTTCCTGTCCCCATCGGACCTGCAGAACTACCGTGGCCACCCCCACCCCAGCCTCTCCCGGACCCTCACCTCCAAACCCATGCTGCCCAGCATCAGTGCCTCCCCGCCGCCCTCCTTCCAGATCAGCCCCCCCCTCCACCAGCAGCTCTCCTTGCACCACCCGCAGAGCTCCCTCCTCAGCCAGCCCCTCAGCATGCAGCAGGTCCCCCAGCAGCCCCTCCTGTCCCCCCCCATGGCACTACAGGTACAGCCCCCCATGAACGCCTCGCCTCCCGGGCAGCAGGTAGGTGCTCCAAGGGAGAGAGGGCTTGCAGCGTGAACCACACCATTTCCCCGCTTCCCGTGGGGGTCTGGTGGTTTCTGAATAGTTTGGGGGTGTTGGGTGTAGATGTTGTCCCCGGGGGAGTCTTCTCCTGGCTCCACCAGCTTGCAGATCTCATAGCTCAGGGGTGACATTTTCAGGAGTGTTGAGCTGGGAGCACGAGCACCCCCACAAATGGGGCAGATGTGTGAGAGCGGAGCAGTGAAGGCTCTTTCAGAGGGGGAAGCTGCAGGAATTGGGGATGCCCCTGGTAAAAGCTCCTTGTGTGCGTGTTTCCCCAGCCTTGTCCGGGGGGGTTTCGCTGATGATCATCTCAAACAATGGGTTGGACAGTCAGTGAGAAACGCCTCTCATGGTATTGCTGAGAGAAGCGGGGACTGGAAGGGTTTGGGGTAATAGCAGGGATCCAGGGGGGTTGCCAGGAGGAGGAGAAAAAGGATAGAGGGAATGTCACAAACAAAACATAAAATCAGTATTTTTCCAAAAACTGCCTGGAAATAGGAGAAAATCGGTTTTGTGGCAGAGAACCAAGAGTATGTAATGTGTGCTTGCACGTATGCTTATACTAAGAGCAGAGCAGCAAAGCAAATCCTATAGACTGGTGCTGTGGATGTGTAAAACCTGCTGAAGCAAACCATCCTTAGCCATGCCTGGCTCAGCCCAGCAGCCCACACGTGGGGAGCCAGCCTGTGGCGTTGAAGTCTCTCCTCTTTAAACCTGCTATTAAGAAAATGTATCTAGAGTGAAAATTGGCTATAGCGAAAAACATTTCCTATACGTTATAGAGAACTTGCCAGTATATGAAGGAGGAGATGAGTGGTTTCCAGAGTTTCTCCATCTGGAATATGAACTGGACAAACTATTCACAGTAAAGGACATATGCTCTGAATTCACAGCTGCTGCCATTTACTTGCTGATACTTTTAACTGCAGTATTCACCCAGCTGGCTGAATAATTTTTCACATGTTTACTAGCTATATATCACAAAATTCATACAGTACTTCAGCAATGAACAAAGCTTTCTTTCCCATAATGTGACCTATTCATTTTGGGACTAACTTTGAGAAAACAGAAATTGTTAATTTAGGAACAGATAGTGAAGTGGAAGAAAACCAAAGGAGAGCAGGGATGTAGAAGCACAATTATACCTGCCCATAATAAAAAGCCAGCGTATGTCTGAAGGTCAGATCCTTAATCAGATTTTAATTTCCAACCTATTAAGGGTATTCCAAGTAACTTCTGCAGTGACTGGGCTTTAGCTTTACAAAAGCAAAAGTGGCTTCTGTTTCAGTCATAGCCAACATCCAGAAATGAGCATAAAAGGAAAATGAGCATCCAGAAATGAGCATTAAAAATGAGCATCCTCATAATCACTTTAATTGGGGTAGTTGTTGTTGCTGAGGGCAGCATTTTGTGAAGCTTCATTCCACATAAATTTGTGAATAGAAAATAAAAAGTAAAAAAAAAAAAAAAAAAAGAATAACCCCACACTGCCCTAATTTGGATATTTTGGAGAAAATCCTGTTCTGGGTCAGATAACTACCATGGCTCTTGTTTATATACGTTGCCTAATGTTACTTAATTAAGCTGACCCAAAAAAATCCAGAAAGCTAATCAGCTTTCAGGTAAAACAGTCCTGCAGCATCCTTGTTAAATTGCTGGCGGTGACAGCTGATGGAGCGAGTGTTGCTTGTGTGGCTGTTCCTTACCTTGTTACAGTCCGTTCCAATGGGCTAACACATTGCTGCAGAAGGGGCTGCACCTGAAGTGGGAAAATGGTTTTGATTGCCAGCCTGCTGAGGCAAAGGCTTCCCTGGCTGCGTGTCTACTGCAGCCATTCACCACCCCCAGAGGAGGGAGGTCCTGCAAAACAAGAGCGGGGGAGGAGGGATGTAAAACAAATGGTGCTGCATTGACACCTGCTCGAAGCAGCGCGTGTCCTGCAGGGTCCCACCGCGGTGGTCTCAGGTCCTGGGCTTGGACCTGCTGCTGTCCCTGGGCTCCCCCCGCGCTCCGCACTGCTGCGGGTTTGGGGCAATGCATGTAAACGTGTTGGTGCAACATTATTAGATCTGCTGTTTCTCCTGCTGTGTATACTCCTGTAGCCTTCCTTTCCGCTCTGCAGGACTTCTCACATATTTCGTCTGAGTTTCAAAACAGTGTTGGACCCCGTTCGCCTGGTGCATCGAACCCTCCAGGAAGCACTGAGTGGGACAACGACTACCCCAGCAGAGAGTGTGGGATTAACCACTGCAGGCCAGTAGACAAAATAGCACATTGCTAATGCACTTTCTGTTATCTGAACTGTGACAGTGTACAACAGCTGAGAATCTGCCCTAAAAACGTACAGCAAGATGATAGGCTAATTATGGCCAGTGAAGTTCAAGGTTTCCTCTTCTCTGTAGGCTCACTGAAGTGATGCTATGGAAGCAGGTAGCTTGAAAATCACAGATAAATTCCTCATTGGGCATGAGGATTTTTTTTTTTTTTTGCGTGTGTGTTTCTATCCCTTTAACAATGGAGAAGTTGGACACATTCCATTCCAGAGCAGGCCAGGGCAGCCCAATCTCCCAAGCACAGTCCCTGGAGATTTGAAGGTGGACATGTCCATAAGCAATGTCCTTCTGTTCCTAAAGTGATTGCTCTTATCTCTGAGGCCACAACCTCCCATAGCTGTCTCTAGCAGTGGGTCCCTTATCAGTCCCAGGGCTTCACCAGGATAGTGTACAAAGCCTTATCCTCCCAGGAGCCACACGATGCTCCAGTCCCCTGCACCTTGCAGGAAAAGGCCACAGACATCTGCACAGATCTTCGCCCTTGTGCCCTACCAGCTCTGGCATGAATGTGCCAGCACGAAGGTCTCTTCAATGCTGCTTGAATTCCCCAGTAAATAAAAACATCAGGATAGTCTCAAAGCTGGGGAACAGGGAGGGTGTGAAAGCCATTTCCAACCTCTGCCTAATCCACTGCTCTTGGCTCAGCAATAATAGTTTGGAGACTGCTATTGTGCTCTGTAAAACAAGCACATGGTTTGCTGGGAGAGCAGGTAGGGAAGGAGACTTGGTAGCTTCTGAGTATTGTTTGATTTGCTTGAAGTACTGGAACATAGTGCTTTCACTGGAGATAATAGCAAGCTCCCAGCCTTTTCAGAGCACAGCTCCTGTCTGTGCCAGCAGTGCACTTACAATTGCTGGGCTGGGCACAGACTGTACAGACATTTATTTCTTTCAGGGAAATAAATAACTTGCTGAGCCATTAGAATATCACTGCTGTCTGCCTGCCTGAGGGGGCTCAGCTACGTGGATAGGTCTGGGCTCTGCCAGCGACCTTTGCATGGTCCTTCCTGAAGTCTCTGCAACAACCCGAAAGAAGGAACCTATTTGGGACTTGATGATAAAGGTCACTTTAGATGCTGTAGGCAAAATGCTAAAGATGATCCCAGTTTTCAGAGGTGATGAGCAGAGGCAGCTCCCACAGAAATTACACCTCCTAGAAATAAACATTGCTACTTAGGGCATCAGCTGGGAAAATATTTGATTCCCCCTGCAAATCCCACTTCCCAGGCCCCGTGCCGAAAACTCAGGGCACTTTAGAAATGGGTGGAACACTCCCGTAGTAGTCAGGATTGAGTTCTGTGTTGCTAAAACAAGCTCCGTGACATCTGTCCAGAGTGCCGTACTGTAAGCAGAGGGCCCATGCAATTCATGATCAAAGCTCATGCATTTCATGCCTTTGTCACAGCATAAATATCAAATTTCATGGGTTTATCGGAGTTTCTTGGAAAAAAAAATCATTCTAAAACCAGACAGATTATGCAGAGACTTCCAGATAATTATTAGAGTAGATTATAGCAATGAACTCAGATGGATATAGATTAGTACTGCAGAGAGTGCTTAGTGCACTGAAAAATGTTGTAGTCTCTGTTAAGGAAGGAGCCCATCTCCCGTGACTAGAGATAGGCGAGCTGCTGGCAGCCCAGCTCCCAGAGCTGGTTTGTTCTCATTTTTTTGCAAAGCCCAGGACGTCAGCAGTGCCATCCCCTCCTGCTCCTGCTAGCCCCTGGTATTTGCTGCCTAAGTGCATGCCCTGCGCTGCTTGTAGCATCCACACACGTTTGTAGGACTGCAGCCCCACTATGTCTCAAGGTTACGCTCGTGTCGAGCAAAGAGATGATCTGGTTCTCTTCATCTTCCTCTCCGTACTGCTTTCTCCAAGGCACTTTGCAGTAATTTGCAACGGCGTTCACAGTTACCCCTGGGCTCCTCTGCCATGACTTGGCGTGAGGGTGCAGGGTGAGCCGTGTGCCTGAACAGCCCCGGCAACCAGCAGGACGTAGGCAAAGCAGTGACAAAGGGAAGGCAGATCTTTTTGGGTTTGATTCATCAGTGTAGTTTTAGGTATCATCAGGAAGTCTCTGGATCATGTAATTGCCCATTTCAACCTCAGAACTGCATTCGGCTTAATTGCGATTAAAGCAGCTCTCTGAGGAGCAAAATCAGCCACTGGCTGGAAAGAAAAGGGATTATTTTCTATTGTGATGTGGCTCATCTGTAGAGTCTCAAATTGCTGAAAGAGAGGATCGTACCAGCCTCCGCAGCACACAGGCAATCCTGCCTTGCTCTCCAGGTTAAGATTTTTGTTTTATGTCTGACCTTGGTATCTCTTTAGCTTCCAACATGTGTTAGCACTGGATTAGCTGGGGTAAAGTCTCCCAATCCTATATTTTCTTTTGTGTTTGTCATCCAGACAACTTCTGAAAAACTACCAAGGTTGTCTTTCTCTCTGTCCTTCATCTACTAAGGAAACTGCTGTAGGTTGCTGTTGTTTTTTCCCAGACTATCAGTGCTAGTTAAAAAGCCATTAAATGACACTTCTTCCCTTATGCCCTTCAAATTCTAGGATCCTGTGAGCAGACACTCCTTAATTCATAAATCAGCCATGTTAGCAAGAGAGTTTTAAATGTTTCTTAGCTCATGCTCTCCCCATTATTAATGATATTGTTCTTACTTACTTCCATCCAATTTTCCTAGCTCTTTCTGGGCTTAAGCCCAAGCTGTCCTAGATTGCTAGCAAAGACACGGGTAGCATTTCTCAGTTCCTGCTTAGTATAGGAGTATCGCTTCCCACAAGCAACTGCAGCGTACAATTTTATTGCATTTTGCCATCATATCACAAACTACTTATATAGTCCCTTGTCTCCCTCACCTGACAGCCTTATTCTTGCACTCGCTCTTTCCCAGGCACTCACTGAATACCTGTGTTTTGCAGTGGTTTTCTCCAAGGGAACTAGCTCACCTCTATCGAGGGTGCAGCTTGGTTTACAATCACTTGCAAATCTTTCTTAATTCTTTGAGGCACCTCACTTGTTTTTTTCTGCCCTGTCTTCTGATTACAACTCTTTCCATACCAAAGCTGTCTTCAGGGTTTCACTTACGTTTGTCTCCTAGCATTTAGGTATTTTGGTGATAAGACTGAACTGAATTCATGCTTTTATGTCCTTCCTCTGATCTGCAAGGCACAGGTTAAGTTCTTTTTGGGTACCATCATTTAGTAGCTCTTCTCCCCTTTTCCCACTCTTCTTTGGGCTAAAAGATGGGACGCTATCAGTTATGCCTTGTCCTGACACATAAAACCGTGTACAGCCCCATCATCCAGACATTTATAACCTCACTGATTCCTGCTAACAATTAAGTGATCCTCTCCAAATGAGGGAATTTTCCAAATCAGGAACTAAATGAGCAAACACTGGATAAAAAGGCAAGGATAAACCGCCACAAATGCACTTAGTTTGGATTCAATTATTTATGGTAATAGTTTGTAATGAACTGGGAACCAAAATACCTCACTGCTGCTCAGTGGCATTAAATCTTTGCTGAGTGCAGTAGGGAAGACTCTGTATTTTAAATGCAGATTATGAAAAGTGGAGATTAACAAAGTGCAGACTGTTCTGCACTCTGTCAGAAGACAGGTCTATCAATAACAGCATTACATTGCTGTTTGCTATTTTCCTATTCTTCCACTCGTAAGCACACTCATGCTGGAATCCCTCAAAGCTTTGTAATGTTCTTCACCACCTTTTGAGGCCAAGATGCCTTTATGGAGCCAATGATGTTTCCATCAGGTCAGAGTAGGTGATAAAACCCATTAAAATGCCCAGATTTCAGAGCAAAACCCACATAGGACGTCAGCGAGGGGAGAGGCACTTCAGCCACTCCTCTCTCTACTATTTCCTGAACAAAAGATCATCTGGGCTCCACTGTAGGACGCTGCTGATGCCAAGTTGCAAGCACCAGCCAGCACCCGCGGCGGGTTGAAGCACCGGGTACTACAGGCAGGGAAAGGAGCGGTGATATCTCTCTACACGCTGGGCTGTCTCAGGGGTGTAAGCTGGCTTCTCTCTTCAGAACATGCCTGGATCTCTTGAAATCAAAATCATTGCTTCAATAATGTGATCAACTCAAGATCTGGTGGGCCAGGGACGTGCAGAGCACACAGCCGGGGTGCTGTCCCACCAGCCCTCCCCCATAACCTCCTGCGAGTAAGGCAGCACTGCAGTCTTCCTCGTGTTCCTTGCACCTCCTGCTGTCTTCATCAGACCCACAGGGAAGACTGGCTAATCCTGCTGTCTCACTTGCTGAGTATTAATTTTTCTAGTTATGCTTATTTTGGGAGAGGAGGAGACAGGCATGGAGCAGATGGTGTCTCCTGCTCCCATGCTCTTCAGCCAACTTACGTAAATCCTCCTGGACACCCACAAGCATCTTCAGGCATAAGCCCCTCAATCGTATTTTTGAGATCCCCCACACACTCCTTACGTAGTGTCAGAATGGCACATTCTATCCAAAAACAAGTGTACATTTTGTAAATCTCCGTGGCTTAGCCTAAGGGCAGTGTGTGATGAGGAAGGGGGCTGGTGGCCACGGGGCTGTTTCCAGGCACAGCACCGCACAGTGCGATGGTGGAGCTGGTGCCAGCATCGTGCTGGCTTGCTCTGCAGGGAAATCCAGAGTTTGCCCTCCCCTGCAGCCCCAGCAAGAGCAAAGATCAAGCCACAGGAAGGAATTTATGTCTTAGCCCTTATTGCTGAAATTCAGGAAGAACTAAAATTGCACCAGGCTCTTACTCTTAGGCGCCTTCTGCTTGGTTCACCTCTGCACACCCATCCCTCGGTGCAGACCACTTTATGTTTTGCATTATGGAGTGCCATAAAAACCACGGCACGGCTGAAAACGGGTGTGCGAGCGGGTGTGCAAATGTTAATTCCAGCTCCCGCCGGCGACCCCCCCGGCTGTTTCCCTGCCTGTCTCACCTTCTGCCTCTCGTTTCTCTTACAGCATGCTGCCAAGGGACAAGGCACTCTACCTCACCTAAAACTCAACATCTCTTTTCAAGGAGGCTCAGATGAAGGACACTTGAGAGGGTCTATCTTACAGACTACTCGGAGAGGCACCGAGCAAGTCGTACGGACGAGAGAGCTACCACTGCACCTCGTCGCTGGCTTCGTTTCCAGGCTCTAAGAGCAGTTTTCTTTTATTATTTTTGAACTCTAAAATCTACTTTCTGTGGAAGCCCAAAACCTCATAAATCATGAAGAACAAAAATTTAAAAATTAAAAAAAAAAAAAAATAAACACAAAACCAACACAAAAAAATAAACAAAGGACACCATTTTTCTGCTTGCCATCAGCTTAGCTACAGACTATTTTCCTAGTGAACTGCTTTTAGATGCAGCGTAAGCCCAGGTCTGGTGTCCTACAGCATTAGGCCAGCTCAGTAGGAGGATGCACTCTTTTGACTTGCTAACAGCACTAAATTTTGTGCAAGAAAATGTGAAGTTTGTGTGAATATTGTACATGCAAAGGCCTTGGATGTCTGGCGAAAAAAAAATAAAAAATAAATAAAAACTATTGCTAGATAGGTGAGGGGAGAGAGCAGAAGGCAAAATAAGAGAGGAAAAATGTGAAAAAGATCATGAAAATATAATTTGTTGGATAGTTGTAAGTAGTTTACTAAGTGTTTTAGAGCTGTGCTAAAGACATCTTTAAGATTTTTTTGTGAAAAAAATTAGTAGTTTACTTTATAGTAAAAGCATTTTATATTAATTGTAGCACATTTTTTAGTTATACATAGAAGGGAGATGTGTATAAAAAAACAACAAAAAAAGCCTGCCAAACTTGTTTCTATTATTTGTACAGCAAGAAATGGACAATTTATATCCATGTTGTATGGCATTATTATATTTTTCTGCCATATGTCCATCTATTTAAAAATTGCTGGCAATGATTTTTGTCTATTTATGAAAAATTAGAGATCATAATTACAGTTTCTCATAAGGTGCATTTTTGGGTTTTTTTATTTTTTATTTTGTTTGATGGTGTTGCTTTCACAGCACCTGGCACATTTGGTTCACAATGCTTATCTTACCTTTCTTTATAATAAAACATACGAAAAGTGGAACTGAACCAGTCTCTCCTTATTCTGGGGGCACACCCTGGCAACGTCCCGGGCAGTGAGGTCCCTGCTTTGTCCTTGTCCTCAGCTTTCCCATCCACCGCTCCTCTCCCATCACATTCTCACTTGCTTTCTCTTTCTCCCTCCTTGCTCTGGACCAATAATTCTTAAATAAATATATCTGCGACCACCCCCAGCAATGAAAGCTATGACTGAGCAATGGCAGGCAGACAAACATTTTTCTTTCCTTTTCTTGAAAAATGCCAACTTCACACTCAGCAGAGGGTACTTTCCTTTCTCAAGCAGTATCTCGTTGCCCTATGCACTTGCTTACCAAACTATCCCATGCCCCAGCCCTATTGACCCCCCTCCCTTCTGCCAACCCTTGAGCAGACAGAAAATGTCCTCACAGACCCAGGGTCCACCAAGCTGCCTGCTGGCTGCTGGCAGATGCCCACAAGACGCCCCATTTCCAACGTTTCCTAGGAAGTATGGATGAGAAGGACACAAAAAGGATGGAAAATTCAAACGGCAAAAGGATGGAACTGTCTTTTCCATGCTTCTATAGCAAGGACGGAAAACTCAAATGGCAAAAAAATAATACGATGTGAAATTTCACACGGGGGGGGGCCACCTGCCTGGAGGAAACCTGTTAATTAATGTACCATTTTAAGCCCATTTGTAGATGCAGCTTGGCTGTAGGAGTCTCACCACATTGTGTCACTAGCACTCGAGTTACTGTCATTTAGATAAGGCCCGATTTCTTTCAGTGTGCATTTAAATGGAAATGTGCAGCTGGGGCGTGGCTGTGTTTCTCATGCAATTTGGGGCATTGGGTCTCAGGTCCAAATATCACAGCTAAGATTCTATTTTTCCCCACTGCTACCCATCTATGATCAAAGTGGCCTTAACATTTATGTTCTCCAGTGACTTGAAATAACTTTTTCAAGATTTCAGATCATTTTAATAAACCAGGGAAGAGCTCACCTGTCAGAGTTAAGGGTTTTTTGGATGAGGTAAATGGTCATTTTTATCGCCTAATGGTTTTACATATGCTACAAAAACATACTGCCATGCCCTGTACCTATTGCAATAAATCTCCAGTAGACTACCACACCACAACTCTTGCTGGCCCACAGGCCACTGGACAGGGCAAAGAACATGTGTCCTCTGGTTGACACCTGCTGCAGCTTCATCCCACAGAGCCTGCTGGCCCATCAAACAAGACCCACCCCAGAATCCCACCCAGAAGCTGCCCGGTCTGGACGGCGCGATGAGGAAGACCTGAGATGAAGGGGTGGTTTGGGTCCCGGACCAAGCGGCCCCCGGCAGATCACTCTGGATGTCAGGAGAGGGGGAGATGGCAGCACCGTGGCAAGGGACAGCAAGTCCCTGGAGATTCAGGACCCCGCCAAGGCTTGCAGAAATCCAGGCAGGTCACAAGCTACTCCTGCAATCAGCCTGACATAAAATCTATGTTCTCCTCCACTTCCGAGGCCATCACAGTGTTACTGCAAGGTGATTGAGTGGCAGTTCTCTCTGCTGAGAACATTTGCTTTCTGGGCATGAGAGAGAGACATGAAATCAAGATGTAACTCTCTGAATCAACTTTCATTAGAGTAGTTACACTTTTAACCCCAAACTTCCTGCTCTCTGCAAATATAAACAGAAGAAGTGCCTGTTCTTTGTCCCATTGACCATGGTGACTCTATATTTTATTCTGGTATAAGCACAGCAAAATCTCACCAACACAGCACCACAACAGCTGTGGAGATGGGCAAGTGAGGAGAGCTGCTGGATAAATCTATACATGTGGGACTTTTCCTCTCTGGTGACCAGCATAAGGCCATGAAGGTCCCCTTTTATCTCTGTAATCTTGAGCCATTTGAAAATAAAATGAGGAGTATAATAAAACTTCCTGAGGATCAGCATAAGCAATAACATCTCAGCCCAGCTTGGCTAGCTAGTGGTGAGCAGATAATTACTCTGCAATATCAGAGCCAGGAGATTTCTTTCAAATATGCAATTATTAAAATGGGAGGGGGGGAATAGGACATTGAGATGAAAACCTACCTTGAGTTATCGCAGCAAGGAGATAGGACTTATTCCAGGGAGAGTTTCTGAAATGCTAATTTTTTTATGTGTGTAGCAGGTAAGTGGCCTTGAGACTGAAATCACAGGGAAGCTGTTTCCAGCCCTGGGAGGAGATCTGGAAGAGGTCTTCATCACATTGCACCAGGTCCCTGTGCTTTGCCTTTTCTGAAGCAAGGTGCCCATCCCCAACACCCTGCAGTCCCGTGGACCTGCGCCCCATGGACCTCATGCCTGCATCTCCTTAGTGTTGCTGTGATGGTGGTTGTGAAGCCATTCAGAAGCCTCCGCCGAGGCCTCCTTTGTGGCAAGGTGACCTTGCCAATTTAAGATTGACTGTGCAAAGCAATGCTTTGAATGACTTCCTAGCCAGCCTCCCAGTGTTGTGGTGGGCTGGCCCTGCTTGTCGGCAGGCAGGCGATGGGAAAGGGCTGGTGGCTGCCATGGGGTGGCTGTGCAGGGCACAGCGACCCATCTCCAGCCACAGCGATGCGGGAGCCGCCTCGGGGATGCAAGGCAGTTGGCTGGTTTAGAGCCCGAGGCATTAATAGGAAATTGTGAGGCTTTCCAAACCACATTAATCCCTACTAATCTCTAAATTTGCATGATGGCAGCTGTGCTTAAATGATATTCCAGCTGTTGGCTATTTGTTGTGTACCTGGAATTGCTCCAGGGAAGCAACTTGGAACTGAGCCTCCCTCCCACCACCACGGCTGGCTCACAAAACGCATCCAGTCTCCACTAACGGGTGCAGCCCCACAGGCAGGCAAGGGCGAGCACCCAGGGGCAATGGGCTGGGCAGCAATGGCATGGCCAGCTGAGCCTCTCCTCAGTATGAACCCTTGGTCTACTATTGCCATTAGTAGAAAATGTGGTACCTGGGTCTCAAGAAGCTATCTGATCACCCCTTGCACTTCAGAGCAGGGGCAGCTCTTCCTGAACCCTCCCTGTGTTCCTAACCTCCCTTTAAAAACCTTTACATTCCAGACAGATAACCTAAATCTCTCTCCCTACAAAGCAAATCCCTTGCTTTTGAACATAGGGAAGAATTTATTGCTTTCCTTGTTGTGGTAATTTTTTCCATTTTTGAAGAAGGATATTAGGTCCCTCCCACCTCCTCTCCTCCTGCCTGAGAAGTTGCATTTGCGAGGGTCACATTCCTGGGCAGGATGAGCCACAGTGCTTCCACTTTTAGTCAATAAGCACCAACTAGATCCAAAACCAGCTCCAAAACAGCTCTGGGGCAGGGAGCTCACAGGACAGACGCGCTCCGCGGCGCCGTGGGGGAGGCAGGACCCAGGCAGGTGTTCCCAGGTGGCGGGATAATGATGGAGAGGGAAGTTAAGAGGCACAGGCAGGGAGAGACCTGGCTAATTGACTTTGGTTTATGAAGACATAATTAGCAGCGCTGTAGGATGTAATGGGGAGTTTAACAAATCTCATCAGCGGGATCTCGGTGGTGTTAACCCTTTGAGTGAGGGTGCTCAGCCCTCTGGGCTAGCCTATGTAGCCCCAGGCAGGGTAGGATGGGGTGCCCCCAGACAGCAACGCCTGGATCACACAGAAGTGGGGATACCCACCAGCATCCCACTGTCCCACTGGGACACAGCCTCCTGCACATCCAGGGTGTGCAGAAAGGGCCTGGTCTTGGCCTGTGGTTTCACCTTAGGCACCACCCCAAGCTGCACCCACAGCACAGGACCACGGCCACAAATGCCCCGGCTGCGCTGGGATGACAGTTTGTCTTTGTTACAACTGTGTTATTAAGATGATGGAATGTAAGGGAAAATGGTCCTGACAAGTAATATTGAGAACTTTACGCAAGAAGGATCAAAGGAAAGCGCTTCATTTGACAAATCCTAGGTCCCTGACATCCACGGCACATGCTGGGAGCAGAAGTCTTGTGCCAGCCCCACCAAGGGCAGCTTTGCACCTTGGCAAGTGGCCCCATTCACAAAGGTCCCATGGGGCTGGGGCTGCTGTGTGGTGCTGGTAGTGAGAGCAGCAGAGTGGTCAGACATAGAGCAAGTCCATCCTGAAGGAAATGTGCTGCAGCACCAGGACCCAGCCCTCAGCACAGCCCCCACGTACAGTGCTGGGACCCCCACGCTGAGGTTCAGCAGTGCCAGGCAACCAGGCAAAGAGGTTTTATATTTGACCCCGCACTGGCTGCACAGCACCTCCAGTGCACCACAGGCACATCCGTGCTTCACAAAGGTGGTGGCCACCATCCAATAATTCCACCTGTGCCCTGACCCAGCCCACTGGCACAGGCGTTGGGTTCACAGGGTCCTCGCTGCACGATGTGAGTGGCCAACGCAGTTGGGATTCAAGGCTCATCGGCAGGACCCACCACGCTTTGCCTGCTCTCTGCCCACCGCTGTCACCAGGTGATGGAAAGGCTCCACCCAGCAGGCAAACATGATGATGCAGCTTTGCCATCTTTCTGAGTACAGAAGGGCCTGAAACAGACTTGGTCTTGTAGCAGTGAACCACAGTCAGTTGGCTGCCTTTTCGTATAATCCACCCTGCAGAGGGAGGTTTGTGTGGCCCAGTCCAAAATGCTCAGCATCACCTTAGCAGGTAATCACACAGTGCAGAGTGCAGGCAAAGTACTTCAATACACAAGAAGTGCAAAATTATTGGTTTGAACAATGATTTTTGAAGAAGAGTGATGAGAGGAATAGCAATTCTTCGGGATGAAATACTGTGCTGGCCAGAAGGGTAATTTAGAGTCAGATTTGAGATCAGATGTTTTATCAGTGCATCCTCAACTCTTCTTGACTTTCAACCGCAATTTGGTAAATCAGCATAATATGTGGCACAGTAATTGCTGTAGATTTTATTCCTAGTGGGGTTGCTTTATTACACTGTAAGCACATTAGAGAGCTTTCTGTTGCTCTACCATTATT